ATTCCATTGACCAAAGAACATTGAGCAATTCTTTTAAAAATATCCTGTAGATGAAACTTATATTCATTAAAAAATTGCTGTATTATCATAAGTAAGTAAAGATATCAAAAGGTGAATTATATGCTTTTATTATGTAATATTAACAAAGCAGCAACACGGGTTATGCATAGTTTATGCAAAGTATTAAAAAACAGTTTAAGACATCTAAATCTCCAGCAATTTGAAAAATTAAAAATGTACTTCTGAGATAATCAGGTATGAAATGTCTATCTCCCAACTGTTTACAAGGAACTTTAGAATTTATTTATGTATGGGAAAATACGTCTTCAGCTTCATTACTAATTTCTCATTATTTCTATGACCATAAAAAGGTACTCTTCTCTTTGTTTATTATGCATAAGCTATGGCATGATGGAGTAGGGGGAGGAGTTGCCTAGAGGGACTAAATAACTAAAGGGAAGAGCCAGGACTGGGACTCTAAGCCTTGGAACTGTCTAATGAGGCACTCTGCCTCCCACAGCTAGCTCTTCACAGCTCTGCAAAAGACTAATAAACTCACGCCAACAAAAATAAAACACTCACATATCTAATTCAGTAACTAACACCCTAAGGATATGCAGTTTGCTCCTGACCAGAACTAGAGTACTCACTTTCTTTGCGAACTTCCTCAAGTGCAGCAGTAAGCTCATCCTTTAAAACCGTAGCTTCCTGGGCAATCTTCTCTCCCTTGTCTAGTAAATTCCAAGTTGCTTCCTCCACAGAAGCTAGAAGGACTTTGGCTCTTTTTGAACATCCTTTTTTCCTGTTGGAAGGATTCTGGGGGCAATTTACAAGTGTAGTAACCTAAAATTGGAAAAATACAAACCACTCATTAGACAAACTGTAAGGAGAACACAGTCCTGGGATATCATAGCCCAGGAAAAAAAAGGAAGTATAGTTGACCCTTGAACAACTTGAGGGTTAGGGATGCCAACCCCCCATGCAGTTGAAAATACAAGTATAACTCTTGGCTCCCCCAAAACTTAACTACTAATACACTACTGTTGACTAGAAGCCTTACTGATAACATAAACAGTCAATTAGCACATATTTTGTATGTTATATGTATTATATGCTGTATTCTTACAATAACATAAGCCAGAAAAAAGAAAATGTTATTAAGAAAATCATAAGGAAGTGAAAATATATTTACTAGTCATTAAGTAGAAGTGGATTATCATAAAGGTCTTCATCCTTGTGGTTTTCAAATTGAGTAGGCTGAGGAGGAGGAGGAGGGGTTGGTCTTGCTGTCTTGGGGTGGCAGAGGTAGAAGAGGTGGAGGAGGTGGAAGGGGAGGCAGCACACTCAGTATAACTTTTATTTTTAAAAATCCACATGTAAGTGGACCTGCACAGTTCAAACCCATGTTGTTCAAGACTCAACTGTATTTCATAGTAACATAATACATTCCCAGTACTATTGGTACATCCCCAAATGTCAAGTCATGGCACCAAGAGCAGCAGCATTGGCTACCACAGAGTTCCGAAGTAGAGGGAGGAAGGGAGAGCCATAGAGATTGAATCTCATCAAATTTTACTATTGGAAGAATGATTTAGAAGACTCTGTGTGTAATTGTTTTAATTACAGCAACTTCATGTGGAAAAAAAAATACAGAACCTTGATAAAGCAAAGAGAAACAGAAAAGTATATATCTCCAAAATATCAAATAATTATAAAATAAAACATACCACTTTGTAGGCAGCAACCTATTTCAAGATGAAGGCAAAAGTAATTATAATTGAGTCAGTATTAGTCTATTTAGGCTGACAATAGAGATTACTAATATTGGGGAAGAGGGGAACATTCTGAAATATACAAAATGGTGTTTACCTCAAGGGAACAAAGCTCAAATCCTTACTATGACCTACTCTCTTACCCTTTGTAACCTCTCTGACCTGCCTCCTATCCTCTCCTCTAACTCAGTTGGCCTCTCAAGCAAATAGGTCCTGCTCAAAGTCCCCATGCAAGAGGCCTTTCCTGCCCACCCCCATCTTCACCCTCTTTTACTGTTCCTTTACCCCACTTTGTTTTTCCTCAAAACATTTATAGAGCCTGACATTTTTGTTTATATGTTTATTGTGTGCTGCCAATACTAAAAATGTAAACTCTATGAAAGCATGAAATACACTTTGTTCTCCATATCCAGAATAATGCACAAGGTAGGGGTTCAATAAATATTTATTACCTAAATGCCTTGATGAATACGGTAGTTGAAAAGAGGGACTTTTTAACATCTATATTTTGAATTGCCTGAATATGTTAATGATGAGCATGTATTTCTCTTGTAAATTTGTTTAAAATACAACAAACTCCTTACCACAAGTATGTGAGGTGATGGATGTATTCATTACACTATAAATATATATAAATTTTGTCAATTTTACCTTAATAAAGTTGGGAAAAAAACAAAAAAAAAGGAAAGAAATGAATTTTAACCAAAAAAAAAAAAAGAACAAACTCATGATAACATTATTTAAAGATGAAAATTAAGCATTTGTATTTGGAAACAAAAACATCATAATGAATTACATTATGAAAAATACCAACTTCATCCATTTCTTAATCAAACCTTGGATCCCAATCACAAATTTTGGATAAAATTTTTGTAAACAAAAATTACAATCCCCATTAAAAATCACCATCATAGAGAAATGTGGGGAAAAAACTTGCATCCAGTATTTAAAATAGAAGATCTGAAACTCCTATAGAAAGCTATGCTCCTGCGTGTCATCAAATAGTCAAGCCTTATTATAATTATGCATCACGTCTTTGGCAACAGACTATATATACATAACCTTCCTGCTCACAGCCTCTAGAGATTTTACTTACTGGTTATTCATGGAGCATTAGATGTTTGTTTACCTGAATATCTGGACCCAGCTTTTAGTGAGGAACTGAGAAAAAACTTATAAGCTATTAGGGAAATATGTAGATGAAAATAATTTTTGTCTATTTTATTCAAATTTGTTTTGTTCCCATGTTCATGACCCAGAGTGAAATGTCTTACAGCAAGTCTTTGTTTCCCCTCTTAGGAAATAAGAACAATCATATTGTCCTATAAGACTATGGGAAGGTTAAATAAGGTAAAGTATTTTGTAAAATGCATAACATGACACAAATACTGGTTGGCATTTAATGTGTATTTTCTAGTTCATTCCCCACACGCATGCAAAAAATTGATTATGGGAATCTTTATCAAAGGTGTTCTCTCTTGGCCTAATCTTTTCTTGCTCTTAGGCCCCCTGTGCTAAATGTAATGAAGGCAGTTAACAAAGCACATACTATATGCTTTATAAGCAGCTAACTAGGGTCATGTGTCTTCATCATGGATTACATAAGGATGACAATAAACCTAATTTATTGCATGGGTTTTCACAAACTGCAAAAGGCAAATATCTCACTACTGTCAGTCTAATTTATATATTGAGAGTTAAAAGATATTTGTCCAGATTAAGACAAATTATAACACCTCGTTTAAAACCTTTGTTTAAAATGAAGAATAAGTACCATTGTCTAAAATGTTCCTTCAGAATGTATTTTAAGTGCCACAATTCATGATGCTTCCCACTGCACATTCCTCCTCTATTGTTCAGATCTTCTATGCACCAAATGTTTTCCATAGAATAGCCTGGGCTTTGAAATTAAAATGAGCATTCCAGAAATGCTTTGTTCCTTATAATAAATGCCAGAGAAGTAAGAAATGTGAAAAGAACATTGTATAAGAACATTGTGCTTCCATCAAAAAAATACATTTGCTACTTTCAAGTTATTCACTTTTAAAAGTTGTTTGTACCTATGTTTTCTTTTAAAATATCCCAATATATTTATTTAATATTGATTAAACTAAAGTCAAGTGCTGTTTTCAATGATTCATTTTATTCCAGAAAGTAAATATAGCTTGGTACCTTTGTGGAAAAAAAAAAAAGAAAGCTGAACTTTATTTTTCACCCCAACTCACCTAAGAGATATACCCTACTCTCATCAGTGACTGTGACTCACTATAGCAGGTGATTCTCACCCAGGGGAAGGAGAGGGGTCTGTGCATATCCTATTTGAAAGGGTCTCCCATCTCTTCAAGGAATACCAGCAACAAGTAAAATTAGCTTTCAAGTTATTCTGTAAAATAACCTATATCCTCATTTCCTTTTTCAGTATAAAATCAGTTATATTTTTACAAGGAACACAAAAACTTTAGTTGAAAGTTGCAGCAAAGATGATTCTAATGTAGGGTCCAAGTCTGTGTTTTATTAACATTACTTTTTGTCACTAATACATAACCCTCTCCTTCCCCTCTTTCTCAGACTTTAGGGGTCCCTCTCATATGGAAAATCTCTAGGCATGCTGCATTAGAGAGACTGGATTTGCTCGCCTTTCTTTAGTCTGTAAATATACGCTAGGCTATGAAGACACACTTTCATCTCATTGATACAGGAAGAAGCTCCCCATTGAAATAGTCTGAAATTAGAGGCTTCAAGTAATAGGAAAAGAAGAAATTCCCACTTTATTAATTCTGCAAGTTTAACATTCCACAAAGCCAGGCATATTTTTAAATGGTGTGTTATATTTACATATTAAAATTTAGAGTAGGAAAAAGAAGTTTTTTATAACTTTATTAATTCAGATGTGCTTCTCAAGATGCTCCAAAGATACTGAAAATTAAATTGATATGCTTAGTGAACCAAGCCATCAACTATCATTACATATGAGGAGTCTTCAAAAAGTTCATGGAAAATGTGTATTATGAAAAAATTATGCATAGATTTCAAATATTTTTGCACCAAATAAATTCATACTAACTCGTATGCCCAGATGAGCTGCAGACAAAAGCAGAACTTTCAACAGAAATTTTAAATAAGTGGGATCAAGATCCTGAAGCATTTTTTCAAAGAATTGTAGTAGGAGACGAAATGTAGCTTTATCAATATGATCCTGAAGACAAAGTATAATCAAAGCAATGGCTACCAATAGGGGGAAGTGGTCTAGTTAAAACACAGATGGATACTTGCAGATGGTAATATGAAAAAGAAAAAAAACACAAGAGCAAAGGTCATGGCAACAGTTTTTGGGAATGCTCAAAGCATTTTGCTTGTTGACTTTCTGGAGGGCCAAAGAACAGTAACATTTTCTTATTATGAGAGTATTTTGAGAATGTTAGCCAAAGCCTGAGCAGCTAAATGCCCAGGAAAACTTTACTAAAAAGTCCTTCTCCACCACATTCCTCTCATCACATTCCTTCTCATTCCTCTCATCAAACAAGGGCAATTCTGTGAGAGTTTTGATGGGAAATCATTAGGCATCCACCTTCCAGTCCTTCTGACTTCTTTTTGTTTTCTAATCTTAAAAAATCTGTAAAGGGCATCCGTTTTTCTCCATTTAATAATATATAAAAAAAAAACTGCATTGACATAGTTAAATTCCCTCAGTTCTTCAGAGATGGACTAGATGGCTGGTATTATTACTTACAAAAATATCTTGAACTTGATGGCGACTATGTTGTGAACTAAAAATAAAATCCTAAGCCCTCTGCTAACTGAATGGACCCCTCTTGGCCAAGGGGACCCCAGAAATACCTAGTTCCTAGCCATGATGGGATGGGAGAGATAAAGCACAATTACAGGCATGATTTCCCTTCATAAATATTCATGACTCCTCCTATAGCCTGTTGAATATGTATATTTGACCACCCCACTCAGTACAGAATCCTGTTCCCTTCTGTCTCTTCTTTGAAGCACATGTGCCTGGCTTCTGGCCAGGATTCAACTTCCCAACCTATCGAAATGGCCACCCAACAAGCTGCTACCCTT